TGTCAATTTTATTTTTCCACCTTCTTCCCATGTCTCATATGGACTCAATGGGAATCACTGGTTTAATCTAAGATTTGATTCCTCTACCTTCATCACTAAGTTAATTTGTCGCAGCAAAATTAAGAATTAATATTATTTCAATTTGAAAATTAGTGTTTCGATTTTGGTTGCTATAATATTAGATATTTAACCGTGGGTTACTGAGACCAAAATCTCTGTATAAAACATATCATCCCTGTCATTATCATTGGCAAAACAGTGATAACAATATATTTTAAACGAAGATTTTGGGCTCGGAAATCCAGGGTTAGACAATTTCGTAATGTAACATATATTCGTGTAATACTAACATAGTAATCCAATACCTTCGAATATCATATAGCATTTCGTTACAAATATGTCTAGTTCTATCCAGTAAGATAATACCTAAATTTACTAATATGTAATTTAATATGTTTAAAGTGCAATTACATATTTTCACATACTAAACTACTAACTTTTGTTTGACTGTACTTAACCGTTGGTTTTTACTGTCGAAATGCAGTTATAAGAATCTATTGTCATCCCACTATTCAAAAACTAGAAACAAATGTGAACAATTACTTTTAAATTCTGCTGAAATCTCGCTCATACTCTGACTTAGTTGGCAAAGAAAACTCTATTTTCGTAACAACCTATTCATACATTTCAGAATCGTTTAACCAAACTCAACGCATGTATAGATTCAAATACGTATATATTCATTCAAAAATAGACTTTATGTGCTTGTAATAAGGATGACACAATGAGTATTAATATGGTGAAAGAAGGTCCAAACGTACGAGGCAACGTTTTACGGTCAACTACGTGTTCAGCATGCGAAATGATTTCTTGGTCAAGGTCGCAATTTAACTGGAGCTCACAAATAAAGTTACAGTTACATCATTACGGTATATCAATTTATTTAAAGAAAAATCTTTTGCTTAAAAGGATTATATTAATTACTAGCTTTTGCTTGCAGTTCGTCCTCGCTAAATTTAAAAAAAAATTACAAGTAGCCTATGCGTTCTGCCAGACTTGGCTCTACATCTGTGCCAAATTTCATCAAGCTCTGTTAAACCGTTTAGGAGATACCTTTAAACATCTATCCATCTAAACTTTGGCATTTATAATATTAGTAAGATAGTGTTATAACTACTGGCCAACTAGTAAATCTTATAAATCTAAACTAGAACAGTTTAATTCTTAATGTAAAATATTAATTTCGCATTTAGTTGTATGTCAAGACCAGTATTTCAAATAAGACTCATGGTTGAATGATTACATTTAATAGACGTTTAATCTTATGTTCAGGGTTGGGCGTGGTGTGAATAATTTTCGGACACGAGTTACTAAATTCCTTAACGTAATTGCGGATAACAATATTAACAAGTATACAATTTAGAATTTGGCGTAATAATCTTGATTTATTTTGCGTGAATATTCTAGTCCGATTAATGTTTTTTTTTAGGATAACTTGATAATAGATTTCCTTACAAGTACAATTTAATCAGCATTAAATTTCCCGATGTTCTATAAAAAATAGTTGTTCGTTAATTAGGTGTATTAGCATAAATATTGCAAAATATCCTAAAGCCAGTGTTGGATAATTCTTTTCTACAGTACGTTATTCCAGCGTTTAATTATCATTGCTAAATGAATGTTAATCAATTATTTGGATATGCACTGCCAATAGTATTTTGTAGACGAATTAATAAGGAGTCAAATTCGAAATTTAAACGTCGAATAACCAAACATTGCATACATCCGAACAGATTAGTCGGTATATTTTAAAATGTTTTAATAATCATGCCGCAATTAAACTACGAAATCATTGTATATTGCGCTTATGGTATGCGTTAATGAAGGTTAAAAGCTGTCTAGTTACTCATAACTTACGCAATTGTATAATATGCTATTGTTTCGCTAAATAAGTGCATGCTAATAAGATCTCGACCTAATGAAGTTCGCATACGCGGGACAATCCTAAACGAATATACGTTTAAGAAACATATCACAAATATTTGATAAGTATTGTTGTCCATCTGTCTCAGTAAGAAAGACGTATCAATACTAAAATCTATGTTAAACTTTCAGATCGCTTTCGCTGCCGTCCTCGGCTATGCCTCCGCTGGGCTGATCGCCCCCCTGGTCTACGGTGCCAACGCTGGTGACGTCCAGGCCGCCGCCATCGACGCCACCGTCGCCGCGCAGGACAACGCCCGCGCCATTGGGGAAAGCCAGGCGCGTGCCGCCGAGGCCGTCATCCAACACAACACTGAGGCAGTGCGCCAAGTGGCTGAGACCAACCGGGACCTTCACGAGAACGCGTACTGGGGCAGTCTGGCCGCTTCCCAGAACCTGGTAGCCGCCGCTCAGTCCCAGGCCGCCGCCATCAACGGAATCGCCGCCGCCCGTGCCGCCCATCTCGCCCCCATCGCACCCCTCGCCTACGCCGGTTACGGCTACGGTGCCCACGGCCTCGTCGCCCCCTACGGACTTGGCCTCCGCGCTTGGTAAATCGTACCACACCACTAGCCTTTAATAACGACTTTGAATTCGATTGAAAGTCGTTATTAAAAGTTGTAATGGGAGGCGGGTCGTTGGCAGACAATTGATGCGCCTCCACAACACCGCTCAGCCTCAAAAAGGAACCGATTGCTCAACGAAAAAAACTCAACTCAAAGGTCTCAAATAAGTAACTCTCTTTGTAAATACAAAATATCTAATGCCATCACTGCCAAAGTGTAAATAAAACACATTTAAAACAAACTGTTGTACTTTTTTATATGTATGTTCCTTTACTGCAATTAATACTTTATGGTATGTATCAATATGCTTGATATATGCTAGTGTTAAATAAACATGATAGCATAGTACCACAGTGTCTGGACAAACCTGCAATGGGTTTGTACACACTCAAAATAATATAAATTACTGTGATTATAAACAATCAAAACAATTATAAGCAATTAACTCAATGTATTGGATAGCTTCCGTAATATTCATATGAAATGTTTAAAGGTAAAAGAAATCAATTCTGAAATATGGAAAATTTAAAGTAAAAGATTTCCTAATATTCTATTTTAGATAAAACTAGCTAACACAGAAAGAAACGGAAATTTATATATCGTCTTTTACTCAAATAAACCCCAGCTTGTGTAAAGTCTATTAACTAATATGGCCATAAATCTGAAACTCATTTGAGTCTAACTAACTTTATACAAAGTAAATCCGACACTGTGCCGGTGTACTGGCGAAACACTAGCCTTACTAAAATGTCGACGTTTATGTCCCCACACTATTCATTCTGACACTTAACTTGGTAATTAAAGCACATCATTCGCGCTAAAGGATTCTAATTAATAATGTCTAAAAAATACCACCAACAAACTTAACTGGTCTGGTGGACATAAGTCAATTTATATTTTAAGTCAGTATGTCAGTCATTTCTATACTTAAGTTTTACATATTTTCTAACAGACTAAACGACAGCCTATTCCAGCGGGTCAGATAATTTCATCGCACTATAACTACACGGTATGCATTTCAATAGCCAAAGTTCAAACAACATCGAATATCACAAATTGCGAGCAAAAAGTTCCATTAAGAAAATTGGCGTATTATCATCGTCAATGTTCAAACATCATAAACGTGGGTACACGTCTTCCTTATTGCTACGTGACAAGGACCAAAACATGCCCGGTTTACATTATTCCAGTCCAGTGATCAAATTAAAAGCTAGTTTACAACTGACAACAGGTAACCCCACAATGGTATGCATCTGATGGGTTACATTTTTCCAGTTGTGTGTTTGAACAAATAAATTTTCAGTTGACTAAAAACAAACTAATGACTGACCCATTCTCTATATGCCTCGTCTATATCTATGCTCTATCAATCCACGTCAACACTGCGTACTTTATATCGATTCGACTCTTAGCTGTACTAGGGCTGCCATCCGTTCGGATTTCCCCGGATTTTTCCTAGTTTAGAAGACGTCCGGAGGGTGCGTGCGGGCTTTCAGCTATAGTCCGGGTGAAAATCGGACTACAACAAAAGTCCGGGTTTTCGATGTGATTCAGTTCCCGTAATTGATGAAAATAAAAGCTTTGGGTTATTTTTATTAACTGAGTAAATAATATTAGGTTTGTATATCTTTTATTTAATACCTACGAAGATTAAAAAATTAAGCAAAATTAGATATTGTCGTCACAAGAACGTTTAAATACCCTATATCACGCAAGAGGCTTCAAATGAAAAATTTTCTTCTATCAAGTATGGAACAAAAGATATTTTAATCAATATGTAATTGAATGACAAAAAAAGAATAGAAATGTCCGGGTTGAAAGCTCCAAAATCCGGTGAACTTACGCTTTCGGTCGTTGGGGACAGATTTTAAAGATGGAAACCCTAAACTGTACCTACGTTTGGTGACGGTTTAGCGCCGATATCAACTTCGCACTGGGTAATGAAAATACAATATGGAGACGCCCTCTGGCACATTACCAAGACTTAGGACGATAAGTACTGAGCAAGTAAAGCCTTGCTCGTTGGGGACGAAAATGAGCGAATAACAATATATAAACACGACCTAATATATGAAAATCCTTGGTAGAGTCATATCTTTGAAGTTAATTTCAGTGTTATTTATACCCGATAATTAAACGCTATTATTTCTTTAATTAATTAATATTTTTATAAGTTCGTTAAAGAATTTACAGCAACGTTTAATACAACTGTTTTGACACATATTGTCATCTCTCACATACTCTTTGAAAAAATAGAGACAACGATATTTTTCAAAATTGGAATGTCGTTTAACTTCAAGAACAAACAAGTGACTGTGTGACAATCTTTAGGAAATTATGAGGGCCTTGGTAATAAATGAAATTCGCCTTGTTTGTCTACTTGTTTACAATTTTTGACATCTAGTGCAAAATATTGTGCATTGTTGGTGGAATATTATGATATAAAAGACTTGAGTAAGTTTTTGATAGCATTCAGTAGCTATCAAGCAGTCCCATAAGAAGTGCAAGATGAGATTTCTGGTACGAAGTTATTATTAAATTATTTTAAACACTTATAAAAGTATTTAATTGTATACTCTACAACATGTTTGGATTTTGATTTGATCTCTACCCGAAGTATCGAGAAAAAAGCGTTACGTTAGATATTTAATCAGAAATGTTTGCGACCAAGTTCTTAGTTATTTAGAGGCCGAGCCGAATGTTAATCAACATTAATTCCTTCCTATACATGTAATTGGTTTTAATCTAATTGAAAAACTAAATTAAACTGGTCTTGCGTCAACTATTTCTTATTAGCATGATATGAGGAACGCATTAACCTAATTTTATATTAAATTCTTTGTTTAACTTTCAGATCGCTTTCGCCGCCGTCCTCGGCTTTGCCTCCGCTGGACTGATTGCCCCCCTAGTCTACACCGGAAACGCGGGTGATGCTCAAGCTGCAGCTATCAATGCTAATGTAGCCGCTAACGACTACGCTCGTAATATAATCGAGAAACAATCTCTTCTCGAGGAAGACGTGCTCCGCAACAACAACGCTGCCATCCGTCGCGCAATTGATACCGGCAGGGATCTACATGAACGCGCCTACTGGGGTGACGTTGTTGCCTCACAAAACTACATCGCAGCTGCCCAATCCCAAGCCGCTGGGTTAGACGGTGCCGCAGCTGGTGCCCGTGCCGCATACCAATCTGCCCAACTCTCCTCTATTGCCCCTCTGGGTTACGCCGGCTACGGTGCTCATGGCATCGCCCCCTACGGCCTCCGGGCTTGGTAAATAAAATACTTACAGCTAAACGTTAAGGACTTACTTGGGAAGCAGATGGATTGCGACAAATATTAAGGTTGGCAGTCATTAAAAACGCCTCCACCTGCTTCTCGATATTATCAATAGAAAAACAAATTATATAGAGCGATCTATGCCAAAGTGCAAATAAAACACGTTCAATACAATTGCCGTTTTCATCCATCCTGTTGTTAGGCAGTTTGCATCAATATTAATACTGCATCTAATTAACTCAATGTTAAATAACGCTTCAGAAGTGCTCAGTTACATCCTGGACGTTGATCTCGTCTTTTGTTTTTTTTATTCACAGAAAGGCTAATAAAGATTTGACATAAAACAACATGACAAAACAACTAAACATTCTTAATATATTTTTTTATCCTACCAGTTTCGATTTATCCTTATAGAATCCGGTATCGAACTGCTACAAAAACCAAGTCAAGGTCGTACAGGGTGGACATTTATTAAATTCCTTTTTTAATCGCATATCGTGACAAAAAAGTGTTTACATCTTAACAACTATAATAAGACAAGTCCTTATTATATGAATTAATATTTAAATAAATAAATAATATTCTTTAGTCTAGATATTTTTTATCTATTTTCTAATTTCTTTCGTGTTTTGATACATTGTAATGGGTCGCTGTTTGATCTTTTTTTCATATTATAACAATAATCCAATTAGAGCTTATTATCTGATTAAAGTACATATATTATTTATTTAAATGTACACAACAATACGATTAATCTTTACAAAAGACGTAAAGAAACGAAAAAAATAAATAAATAAAAACATCGATAAAAGTATTGCTCTTTTCAGACAAAGAACATTCTGGAAGTTCCGAGGTATACGATCGAATAAATACAACTTTAGTACTTATTACAATAGGAATAAGAAACAATTAGCTTTAGCAGAGAGGTGTGGTGAAGCTAATAATTTACTTTACTACCTTGATAAGGGCGTAGGCCAACCACAAGAACATACGGCAGTAAAGTTGGTCGAACAAGTTCTGCACAGAATCATTTCGTTGAATGAAGATTGATTTGCAAAATAAATACCACGTCATCTTTCTAAAAGTAATGTCAGTTCCGTATATTTTAAGTTTTATACTATTGTATTATAGTTAAGAAAGTTGATAATTAGGTTAAAAATAATTAAAAAGATAAACAGCGACAACGGTTGGAAATATTAGCCGTATATTTTTATTATTAACTTAAAATAAATTTCCATCAAGGGGGGAACCAATTTTTTCGGAATTCATTACAATAGGGTCATAAGTTTGTATTTAAATAATTATGTCCAGTAGGCGACATTAATTATCGATAAATGCATCGAGCAAATGCTACGATTTTAAAAGCCGTAAGTCCTCACGTGTGTCAATTGGACAAATAATTTATGAATGTAGATCGCCTTGAGTGCAAAATATATGAATAAAAGCCGAACTGGTACTTAATTGTAGTGATAATAACAGCCGTACGTACATGTCCACTAGTCAGGTCAGTCATACACGGACTGTTTCAACTCTTATCAAATGGGCTTCCAGCGGTTGGAATGCAGCGATCAGTAGTTGAAAAAATATAATACTAGTACATTCGTGTATGTCCACCTTTAGTCGTAGGCGTAACGTCCACGCACTTATTCCACACTACACATACATGGACAAAGTTAAGGTCGTGCATAAATTCATTCGGACGTTTGAACGCGCTTTAACATAAACCACATCAGCTCATTGGGCCGTGGTAATTGAAATCGACTATACCTTAACGGAGGCGTTAATTGTTAAACGTATTTAAATCAAGTACACGCGTTTATATAGGCCGTAAACTCACGACAAATCTCATGATTTTGACATATTTTGTCGATTACATTACGAAAACGCATATCGTAATTCGTGCTAGGCCCTCTGGTTAAATATAACTACACACCCACGTTTATGCAGAAAACAATAAGGAAGCGACAAATTACATGAATATTGAATTGAAAACAACAATATTATGCGTTTGTCAGTACATGATACTTGACAATATTATAATGTAAATAATAAATATTAATTTATATCTTTGTTATATTAAAACAGTTTATGTATCGGAAAATATGCCGCCGTGGGCTTCAAATAAGTAGGTATAATAAGTAAATATACAGAACTAGCTGTACCCGCGACTTCGGCGACGTAAAATACTACCTTTGATTGGCATTTTAATTACTTAAGCTACTTATTTTACTAACACATAATACATATATAACAAAAAACATATTAAACTCACAAAAAATTCATATAAACCTGTAAAAATTACGATACTTCCATACAAATTTTCAACCGCTTTTTTGCGTAAAAAATTATACCTATGTCTTTCCCCAGGCTCTAAGACTATCGGTATACCAAATTTCATTTAAATCGGTTTAAGGTTTAAGCAGTTTTTGTGTGAAAGAAGGATAGACAGACGGACACAGTTACTTTCGCATTTATAATATTGTTAAGGATGATATTTATGTTGTCATAATTATATTATAGAGTTTGGCATTGCCCCTAAACTAGAAAGAAACATTTTTTACTAAACCAGTATAAGTGATTGTTTGTACGTAAATCAAAAATTAGTTTTGATGAATTTAGTGTAAAATAACATGTGAAGATTGCCACATGACGGGAAGCCATTGTATACGAAAGGCCTGCAAGGACTGCATCTCGTACACAGGGTAGGCGTTTTGGCTTAGTTTTTGTAGCCGGTTAATACCTGTCGCCAACTCTACTTGGGATTATTTGAGAATTAAGAATGCATACTGTGGAAGGTATTCTGTAAGGCATGTCCAATAGTGACCAAAGGTGCTGATGATGATGATGATGTGACAAATAAGTGAAAAAATGCGGTAGTGTAACCACTACAATAGTAAAAAAAAACTAAAACAATTGTGATATATCGTTCTGAAACGTTGCTGACCGTGACATTTGTTAAGTGTAAACAAGTTAATCTGTGGTACATATCCGAAAAAAAAGTTGCGATTAACATTTAAAAACCCAACTACGCCCAGTAGCTCGTAACTTAGGTTTAGGTCAGTATAGTAATTCTGCCTACTATTTTGCATTAAATTTAAATAACAACTAGCACAGATCTAAGAATACATTGTAAGCAACAGAGAAAATAATGTTTATACTTCGTCTCAGTGCATGTAAATTTTATTCAAAGTAACTTCATAATACAGATTATATAAAAAAGCGGTTTATGATAATTTACGGAACATTTACGGTAAAATGGCATTCCTTACATTTCTTCAAGTTAATTGATTACAAATACTTATTAGGAATAGAATAAACCATATAGATATGTAAAATACATTCCTATTTTTAACAATTTTTTTTAATATAATTAGATGGTAAACGAGTAAACAGCCACCTGAAATCGCTGAAATATCGAAGTGACCGTTGCCCATAGACATACGCAATTGCATATGCGTTGCCTACCTTTAATCGACGGAGGAGAGGATGCACAGAAAGAAAATATTTTCTCTTTCCATGCATCCTCTCTTCCGGAAAGTCCACTTCCACTTCCCAATCTTTCCTTATAAGAAAAAAGGTGGGAAGGGAAAGAGGACTAAATTAGGCCTCCGGGACGCACACTCATCAGCCGAAACGCGGAATTGCTTCCACTTCACGCCTGTCTTCTGTGTGGTCGTGGTATTTCACCGGGCCAATTCGTGCGAAGATGTTAAAGCGGGGCTCTACCACTGTTTACTAATCAGTCTTTTTTGTATACAATTTATTAATATTGTCATCTGATATTAAGATTTATATTAATTAAAACCACATACTAATAGTACATTTTTCATAGTCTAGCTGCCGTATTCTTCGTTATTTAATCGCCAATGGAGACTTAAAGTGTAGATTTCTTTTATTTAATCTATACTAAGGGATTGCTTCAACTCTTAATGAATCTGAATTAGTGTGCGATAATATCTCCGAGTCGTAAATAGAGATTGCATTTTTTCGTACAAAACGCCAGCGCCATCTACACGCCACGTGTAAACAACTTACGTACTGCACGTGCAAGGTACGTATACGCACGCATCCAGTTGTAATTTCTCCCCGCTAGAGGCGCTCCAGTCACACTAAGTTAGTCTTATCTATCTTAACACTTACCTTTATGGTCTGAACCGCCTTTTAACTGTTCAGCTTTAGCCTGCAACTTAGTCTGCATCGTCTCAGCTCCCTCCTTCATTTTAGCGAGAATACCTGGCACATGCAATAAAAGACGTTGGGGGACGGACCTTGATTTTATAAAGTTGGCTATGATAATAGATATTTAAATACTTTGAGTTTGTAGCAATTTGTTATAAGGATGGAAAAAAAGAAAGATTGGAAAAAAAAATTATAATGTTGGAAGTTCCTTAAAATTTGATCTTGATTCTTTTACCGTATTCGACCAAAGAATTTTTAAGTGTATATTTATTTTTGTCGGGTTATACAAACCATGTTTGTCCTTTTCTTTCAAGATGCGTTCCATATCTCCTGCCTTGTCTTTCACACGTCCAAAGAAATCTATCCGTTTCGGTAAGCGTACACAAAAGAAGTACAAATTTATTTGATATACTTACAGCGGGTATATAGCTGTATGTTGCTGTTAATAAATAAAATCAGTATATATCTAAACTTACCAGAAATACGTTTAGCAGCATCAGGACTTGCGGACTGGGTGAGTGCTGCCACTTTCATATATTCACTAGTTATCAAACCGGCAGCCTGAATCAAAATCAAAAATTTTATTTCAATCACAGAGAAACACAAATAAAAGATAATAAAATTAATAAAAAAACAAAGATCTCACCTCCAAACTTGCCGGACTCATTGCAGAATATTCCTCACTTAGTAATTCCACTATCAGACCCTCGATATCAAAGAAGAGGATATGACTCTCTGGATCTAGAATAAAAAAGGGTCTTTACAGACAGAAGTACAGACAACAAAGTAATCCTATAAGGGTTCCGTTTTTTTCCTTTTTAAATACGGAACTCTAAAAATATATTTATTTTAATTAAATAAAGTTCTAAAAATATATTTGAAGGTCTTGGTCTAAGAAATTCGTACCGGTAGGATTAGATCTGAATCCCTGCACAGTGAGAGGTGCGCGACGTGCGCGTGCGGGCTCGGCGAGAGGGCCCGCCCCGCCCGCTCCGTGCCCGCCAGACAGCGCCGCCAGCCCGCGTGCAGTCGCCGCACGCATCGCTGTCAGGTTACGATGACGTAGACCTCTGAATAAAAAAAAAAACAAATTAACCTCATTATTGTAAAAGGTAGCAAGAAAGTATGCTCAGAAAAAAACAATTTCTTTTTCCTTCCTTCACTGTCC